TGTAGTACAAGATCTTAAAAGCAGAGGAGGTTTTGGTCTTCTGGATTGGGAGCTATATGACCAAGCTTTCGTGGGTGAAAGAGTGTGTCAATTTGAGGAATATAAGGCTATTAACATTGGAAGGCCATGATCTGCAACTGGGATGGCATGCCTTCTTATGGTATGAGAAGGGCAAGATACAAAGTTACTTCCAGAGCATCACATTAGAAATTCACTATTGCTAACATGGACCAAAATTAAATACTATTTGAAAGTGCCAGTATAGTTATCTATAATGGAGGCATGGATATATCCCAATGTCATAAATATGGATAAAATTATAAGATATAAGGATTTATTAAACGAAAGGGAAGAACTAATAACAAAACAAGAATTAAAAAGATTAGGGATTGACCTATCATGGTGGCCACAATTGCAAATACAATTCAGGTACGAAAAAGACAGGCAGGAATATGGTTTTACAACAAACCAAACGAGCTGGACCAGATATTTATGGGAACAAATCAAAAATTAATTAAGAGGATATACAATTACTAACCTACAAATTGGAAGAAGGACAAGCAAAAGAAACAATGATAATTTGGGCTAAGAATTTTGGCTATAAAATAGATTTGGACAGGTGGGAGTAATTATGGAGTAGGAATCATAAACTTACAATGTCAACAGCATACAAAGAAAACCTCTATAAAATGTTTTACAGATGGCATTATTCACCTGAAAGATTAGCGAACATGTATAAAAACAAATCGGCTAAATGTTGGAAATGCAATCAGGCACCAGGCTCATTCTACTATATGTAGTGGACATGCCCTAAAGCTAAAAAATACTGGAAAAAAATACACGTATGGCTGGAAAATATAAGACAACGAATAGATCTGAAACTGGATACATTTTTGTTGGGCATGCTTCCAGGAAATTATAATAAGGGTAACACATATTTGGTTTTACACAGCCTAACAGCAGCTAGGATTGCATATGCACAATGTTGGAAAAACCCAGAAAGCCCTGCAGACGATATTATAATTTTAAAAAATTCTGGAATGTGCAGAGATGGATAGGTTAACCCTAAAAATTAAAGGAAAAGAAGATTCGGATTATTTCATAACATTCTATTCTACAAATGGTTAAATAACAGATATTGAGGTTAGAGGAGTGGAATTAGGTGAAATGGTTTATAGAAGAAAGAAAAACAGATGAGTAAATATTTTTGATGGTTATATAATTGATACTATAATGGAAGATAATATATGTTATAATATGACTGATGTTATCATATATTTGTTTATATATTACTGCATATTTATTTATATATATATATATATATATTCATAATGACAATGATGATGTTTGTAAAATTATTAACACGAAGAATAATTATTATCACTATGTTACTATAATCATGATTATCACTGCCATCAACATACTATTTATGTAGATATTAAGTCTGTTTTCCTCTAATGTAATTAGTTATATTTGAAAGAGATGGTATCTGGAAAATACACTGTATTCTATAGGGAATTGGAAATATGCAACAACGAAAAGAAAAAGATGGAAGAAAAGAGAAGTGGAGAGATGATGGGAGAGAGGGAAGTGGAGTGGAATGGAGTGGGGTGGAGGAGATGGAGAGGAGAGGAGAGGAGAAAGGTTGGGGGAAGAGGAGAAGGAAGGAAATGGAAGAAGAGGGAAATAGAGAGCGGAAAGGAGAGGGAAGTGGATTGGAGGAGAGGAGTAGGAGAAAGGGAAGGAGAGGGAAGTGGATAAGAAGAGAGGAGAAGGGAGAGTAGGAGAGGAAAGGGGAGGAGAGGAGAGGGAAGGAGAGAGGGAAGGGGAGGGGAGGAGAAGAGAGGAAAAGAGGGAAGGAGGGAGAAGTGGAGGGGAGAAGGGAAGGGAGGGAAGGAGAAGAAAGATGGAAAGAGATGGACTGTCATAAAATTGGGTGAAATATGGTGTATATGAGAAAGAAAAACAGACGGGAATTTTTTTTTTAACCGATGGTTATACAATCGACACCATAATGGAAGACAATATATATTATAATATGATGGATGTTATCACATATCTGTTTATATATTACTGCATATTTGTTAATGTATATATGACTATAATGACAGTGATGATGATGTTTGTACATTTGCATGTTAACATCTTGGACATGTAGAGAGCACACTGCTCAACATAGAAAGGAAATGTATGATATAAATAACTAAATAAAAATATTAATGGAAAAGGCATTGTAGTTACCAGGATACAGGACTATATGGACCAGTATATAGGCACAGTTCACAAGGATATTGAGAATAACACTAGTTGCTCATGTTGATGTCATAGATCATGTTCTTTCCATTAAGTTGGCTCTTCAGATCCTGAAGAGTTGGCTCTTCAGATCCTATCTTATTCTTTGGTGGCAGAAAATCTTGGTTAACCAAGATTCAAGGTCTGGATAGACCAATCTGAGCATAGCTGGATTGACTACAGAAAAGCCTACAATTCAATGTTACACATGTGGAATTATGAAAGCTTAGCATTATTTAAAATCAATAGGACACTAAGAACATTCATTAAGAGTTCAATGGGACTATCAAAGCAGTATTCAATTTCAGTCACTACTGGTTCACTCATGGGGGGGCGGGCATGCGCTCATACACATGCATGATATTTCTTCACATGCACAGAGATGTCCAGGCAGGTGGGCAGAGCCTCCCGCCGCCGCTACCGGTTTGCCTGATCCGGGGCGAACCGGTAGCAACTCACCACTATATCAAAGACAACACTATAAGTCCACTCAAGATGATTCATACAAGGAGCCATCAAGTGCAGCATATATTAAGGTGATGCACTACTCTTATTGCTGTTTTGCAGAAGCTTGAGCTTACCCAACCAGGTAATCACAAGGAGTGAATACAAGTACAAGTTCAGGAGTGGAACTGTCATCCACCTTCTCAACATGGAAGACACTACATTGTATGCTAAGAATGAAAAAGACATCAACTTGGTAATCCACCTAACCTGAATTTAAACTGAGGACATTGGGATGTCATTTGGACTGGAGAAGTATTGCCCAATGTAGTCAAGAGATGGAAGGTAGTTAAGAATGATAGGATGGAATTACTAGTGTGCCATATAGCTGACATACAGACCAGCTACAAGCACCAGGTAGTTTCGCTCAGTTACATGGAAACCATGATGAGGTAAGGAAGACAGTTATCCCATTGCCACCAAAGATTAAGACGATCTGAAGAGCCAACTCAATGGAAAGAACAAAATCCATGCCATCAACACATACACCCTGTCAATCATCAATAATTTTCCAGTATGGTGAGCTGGCCAGAGAAGGAGATGGACACTGCTGATTTGAAGATCCAGAGGCTTCACCGAAGCTATGGATGTTTCTACCCCTATTTCAATATCCAGAGAAAGAATATCAGTTGGAAAGAAGGCAGGCAGAATCTGGTCAATATCAAAATCACTGTCCTGGATGAAATCCAGAGCATCCAGGAGTATGTTGGTAAAATGGCACCCAAAGATGGGCTATTGAGAGAATCCTGAGGCAGCAGCAGACATAAGAAAATCAAACAAAGGAAGTGTCATGGCAAGACAAGACCCAGCATGATATATACCATTGGCTGATAGTTGAGATGGCTGACATTGGAAAATCCTATCAGTGTCTGGAAAGGACTGGACTAAAAGATAATACTATCATAGTAGAAGGACAGGTATTAAGTACCAAATCCATAGAAGCAAGAATGTACTATACTACTCAGGATCCAATGTGTAGACTATGCAAAGAGACCTCAGAGAATGTCCAATACAGGGTGCAGGCAGGAACAGCACACACTGAACAATACAACCAAGTTAGTGGCAATGTGTACAGAAACATCTGCATGTGATATAGGCTAAACTGTCCCAAATCCTGATGGGAGATTCCATAGAAGATCATCGAGAATAACAAGACTAAGATCCTATGGGACTTCAAAATGCAGATGGGCAGGCAGATACTCGCCACTCAACTGGATATTGTGGTAGTAGAAAGGACCAGAAGACAGCAATGGTGATAGATGTAGTAGTGCCAAGTTACATCAACTTCAGACATATATATATATAAATCTTTATTTTTTAATAAAGATTTATTAAATAATTTAATTATTTATTAAAAAATAAATAATGTAATTTATTTTTTATAAATTACACTTTATTGGCCAAGTGTAATTGGACACACAAGGAATTTGTCTTTGGTGCATATACTCTCAGTGTACATAAAAAGACAAGCTACATTCGTCAAGAATCATAAGGTACAACACTTAATGATAGTCATAGGGTACAAAGAAGCAATCAAATCATACTAGGAAACAATATAAATTGTAAGGATACAAACAACAATGTTACAGTCATGCAGTCATAAGTGGGAGGAGGTGGGTGATAGGAACGATGAGAAGATTAATAGTAATAGTAATGCAGACTTAGTGAATAGTTTGAACTTAGTATTCTTATATATAGTATATAAAACTTAGAATATATAGAATATATATAGAATATATAGAACTTAGTATATAGAACTTAGTATTAAGCCTGATTGTTCCTATTACAGCTATTAATATACAAATTTCCAACTTGGTTAATTGCTTTCTGTATATGAATAGCGATTCTTTTCATTACTTTCATTAATACATTAATGAAAGGAATGATGTATTTCATTAATATATCCTACACTGAAAATTGTCTTATCTTTTGGATGTGAGTATAGGGACTCTAAACTTCTTTGGGAGACTTTCTGACTTAAGAAGACAATCTGTTTTGATAATAAATAATTAATGAATTGGAGTGATAGTATAGTAGTATTTTGAAACAATGTTGCAGATATTACTTGTGCCTTCCTCTTGTCTAGGCATTAACATTGGGCTGGAGAAATCGTCACATAGCAGCTACCTCAATGAATAGATAATCCTCGAGTTTACATGTTGTCTTCACCATTTCTGTGAAATCAATGGAGAAGATCAATGAAGTTATGAACATTCAATCCTCCCAACTCAATTTCGTAGATTTGGCTGGATCTGAAAGACAAAAAGATACTGAAGATGTCAGGTTAAAGGTCAGTAACAAAAAATCCTATAAAAACTTCAGTTAAAAACAACAGTTATGCATATCTTTTTAAAAAAGTTTTATTAATTTTCTATTGCTTACATTTTGTTAGTTCTTAATAAACATCATGTTGTCTGGATTATTTCATTTGCTTAGCAATACAGATTACATTCTTAATCTTCACCCACTTTTTCCAACCACTGGTAGAATAAGTTCCGTGTTTAATAATATTCTGTATCTTCTTTCTGTTTAATTTTCAATGTAAGTCTATCCATTTCTGCACAATCCAGTATCTTCCTAATTATTTCTTCATCTCGTGTTATTTCTTCATTTTTCTAATATTGTGTAAATATAATCCTCATTGCTGTTAATACATGCAATATTAAATATATTTTTTATTCATCAAATTTTTCTGGTGTTATAACTAATAGAAAAAGTTCAGGTTTAAAATCTACATGTTTTCCTATCATCTTTTCTAACCACTTATATATTTTTGCTCAAGATGTTTTTCCTTTAACACAAGTCCATCACATATGATAATATGTGCCCAGTTTTGGTTACATTTCCAACATTTGCTAGACATATTTTTAAACATTTTAGTTAACCTAGCAGGTGGTAAGTGCCATCTATAAAACATTTTATATAAATGTTCTTTATAAGAAGTTGCCATTGTTAATTTCTTTCCCATAAATTTTGCCATTTTCTAATTCTGTATTATATCCAAAGTTTTTTGCCCACTGTATCATTGTGTCTTTTACTTGTTCATCCTCCATTTTCCAATTTAGCAAGAAAATATATTTTTCTTAATTAGTTTTTCATCAGAATTAAACAATATATGATCGAAGGCTGTTTGTCCTTTATAAAAGCCATACATTTTCATGTCTTTATCATATCTAGATTGTATTTGCAATTGAGGCCACCATGATAATTTAAATACCCTGATCTTCAAGCTCTGCTTAGATTTTAATTTCCCTTCAGTGTCCAAAATGTCTTTATATGTTACTATTTTTTCAAAGTTCACCAGATATGGATATGTAAATGCTTCCATTATTGAGAGCCATTCTGGGATTCTCAAATAGATTTTAGCTTTTATTTTTTCCCATAAAAATAATAGTGAGTTTCTTATGTAGTGATTTTGAAAGTATCTGTGAATTTTATTCTTCTCTTACCATAAGAAGGCTTGCCATTCCAGTTGTAAATCATGTCCTTATAACAGTCTCTTGTGTCTGAGAGTTATCCATTCTTTTAGCCATGTTATAACATATGCTTGATAATATAAGAGCCAATCTGGTAGTCCAAATCCTCCATTTTCTTTAGATTCTTGCAAAATTTTCTCTTTTCAATTTTTGAACAGGAAAAGCAGTTTTGGTAGGATATTCATTTTTCAAGTAGCAATCTTTCCCAACATTGATAGATGTAGATTTTTCCATTTTTCCAAATCTAATTCCATATATTGTGTTATTTTTACCATATTTTTTTTTCTATATCATATAACTTTTCATAATATTTTTAACTATTTTTTTTATTATCTCATTTTGAAATTGTATGTATCCCTGCTTATCTTGCAGTTTATTTATCACCCCTTTCTCTTTCTTTTTTCATTTTATATGCCAACCATTTGCATTCTCAAAAAAAAAATCGTTTTGCCCTTTTAATTTGTTGGGCTACTTCTTCTGAGACTATTAAATTCAATTTATGTTTAATTAGCTCCATTTTTCTTTTAAGCATTTTCTTTTGTGGGTCTCTTCGAAGTTCTGACTCCAATTTTTTAAACTCTTCTCTTAACATCATATCCTGTTGTTTTTTTCTCTTTATTCTTTTTAGCCATGTAAGTTATAGCGAATCCTCTGAAATATGCTTTGGCTGTATCCCATACATTCTGGAGTGAGGTATCTTCTCTTTTATTTTCTTTAAAGAAAAATTCAATTTCCTTTGCTGCAGATTCTGTAAATTCTTTTTAATATGGATTGGTTCAATGTCCACCTAAAATTCTTCTTCTAATTCGTCTATTTTACTGGGTCAACCCAAATGCTAGGTTCTATCTGCACCTCAAGTATATTAGTCCTTAATTCAGGGGACATCCATATCCTATCAGTTCTGGACCATGATTTGTGTCTGTTTGAATAAAATGTGTATTGACTCTTTTTCGAGTTTATTTCTCTCCAGACATCTGGTATATAAATTTCTTCTGTCATTTTAAAAAATGTCTTAGGTAATCTCTTTCTTTCTTTCTTCCCTATTTTAGTGCTTTTATAGTCTAGTTTTTCATCCACAATTACATTAAAGTCTCCTATGAGACAAATATTTTGATATTCCATTCCCAATATTTTCTTGTGTAATGCTTAATAAAAATGTCCTTGCTTATTGTTTCGTGCATATATTGTGTTATCAATGTCTTTTTTGGTTAATCATTGTTACCACCAACAAGATTCTTCCTGCTTCATCTGAATAGACCTGTTTAGAGTCCATTGATTCTTTAAAATATAAGGCTACTCTTCTTTTCTTTTGTTGTGCTGACATGAAATATAGTTTCCCAATTTTGGGGTATTCTAGGAGTTTATAATTATGTGTGTTTCTTGCAGGCAAATCATTTATGTTTCTAATTTTCGTAACTGTGTAAAGATTTTTCTTCTTTTGGAACGGGAATTTAGTCCATTTATATTCATTGAGAGGATCCCATTGTCAGATCCCTAAAAGTGATACTGCCATTCAAGTGGAGGAAGGGGGAGACTTGGATTCAAATTACTAGCATGGCCTGTGTCATCAGATATTTTACAACCTATATCCTGGTGCCAAGGAGGCCTGAGATTCCCTTTACCTGCAGGAATTTATATGATAGCCATGTGGGTTGTCTCACTTTAAAGGGTAGTGGTGGGAATGCATGTTTGTTCGGGTTCTCAAAGGAAATAGTAAAGAAAACATCTTCACACTTTGGCTAAAATCTGCATTCTGACTTAAAGGGAGGGGTCTCTACCACTTTAATCCTACTGCTTTGCCTAAGGGCATTCAGATTGTGCTTTAGCTGGATGGCTTCACTTCTGCTTAATAAAAGAATCCTTTTGAACAACCATGTTCCAAAAGTTCGTACTTTCTTAAGTTGGAAGGAGAGGCGATCCTTACAGAAAGCACAATCTGCAAAATGGTCAACCCAGAGAAGCAATCTTCGCTCTACTGAGGGGACCTTGCAAATCATGTCTGAACGAAGCAGAGAGCTGAGAGAAACTGATTGCTGGGGAGAGACAGCAACCGCCACCCAGTCGGATGCCTGTTTCGTGCACCCCATCGGAGAGAATGAGGTAACCCTGGAGAATCCTGAAAAGCCCAGCTGGTCAATTGGCACCGGGAAAAAAGACAGCTGGGATGAGAGAACCAGGGGAGTCACCCTCAACCATGGCAACTGAAAACCGGGGTGGAAACTGGAACTAGAAGCCCTTGCTGACCAAGGGGGACTGACCGAAGCACCACTGAGGGAGGATTATCTGAAGAGGCATATAACCCAATTGGTAATGGAAACTTTGGAAAATCTCAACATCCGAAGGGAGCCAGGACAATAACCAAAGGGCGCGGAAGGGGCAGCCATTGCGGAGGATGCCACAGGAGGCACCCCCCTTCTGGAGCCTGCCCATCGAGCAGAGGGCGCAGCAGCAGTGGGAGAAGACCCAGCAAACCCTCCCTCCCAGGCAGCACGCACACCGGTGCCCATTCTCAACCAGCCCCGGGTCCCGCAACTGGAAAGAGAAACTCCCCCCCTTTGGGGTGAAGTTTGATGGGAATCCGCAACAATTAGGATTCTTTGTGGCACATGCGCTCACCTACCTGCAAGAGTATGGGCGTGATTTCCAAACCCAAGGATCCCGAGTCCGAGTTGTGACCCTAGCCCTAGAGGGTGCTGCAGCCAGATGGATGGTGACCCTGCATAACGCCAACACACCAGAACTGAGGAATTTTGACCGTTTCATGATGGCCCTGCAATGTCGGTTCGAGGACCCACTGGCAGATCGCAAAGCACATAACCGCATTAAGGGGTGAAGCAGGGGCGATGGCCAGTAGCAGAGTATACTGAAGAATTCTGGGACCTCGCGTGTCGTGTGCACTGGCCGGAAGATATTTTGGTGAGCTGTTTCAAGGACGGGCTGAGTGATGATCTATACAATACCTGCATGGCCCGATGTTCTGTCCCCGTATCACGCACACACCCAACCAGCCAGCCGAGGGTTAAATAAACTCTTCAAACACACAACGTCAGTGATAAGAAACTTGGCAGCAACTCCGTGGCTGCCTGCCAAGAGCTTTTACTCCGATAACACAGACAAAAATACACACAGTTTGAATTAAATCCACGGCAAATAGATGTTGTGTCCAAAGGTGCAAAGTGCTTCGCCAGAGATTAGCTTTGTCCGTCACAGAGTCGGAATGGCCACCACACTCCCTTTTATAGCCTGTGGGGTGTGGTCCAGTGACTCAGTTAATCTCTGGCACGCCTTCCCCTCTGCTGCGCACGTTTCTCCCTGCTCCTCTGGCGAGGGTCCAGCCAGCACTTATTTTCCTCGTCGCTGTCCACCTGTGGCTGCGGGGACGTGCTTGGCTCTGAGTCTATCATTTGACCTTCGGTGTCCTCCGGAGGCATTGCCAGAAAGGAGGGTCCTGGAGAGGGAGGCCTGGCCGTCTCCTCTCCTTCATGTTTGGAGCCTTCTTCCTCTGATAAGATAGGCTCGGAGGACGGAGCCACAACACCGGAGGGACACTGAATGACCTATATGAATGGTATGTCACCACCGAAGAAGCTGAGATCGATATGGCCAGAAACCAGTATTGAGCAGGGTGAGCATGGAAGAAATCCCCCCCCCAATGGAAGCAAGAGTCCATCAAACCACAAACCGCATTCTCCCCGAGATCTTCAGCCTGTTTCAAGTGTGGAAAAGAGGGGCACCGAGCTGCAGAGTGTCACTCGCAAACACCCAGCCGGAAGCACCCACCAGGGGAGAACCCAGCAAAACCGGGTCGGTGTGG